AGTGATTTGTTACAGGTTGTATTCTATATTGTAATCATTATTGTAAGCTGTATAATACCTTTGAATAATGTATTATACATAAGGTAATACTTGCCAATGTATATATATATATATATAATGACTTAATTAAAAATTGTCTCAAGCCAATTTTTAATTCTCTAAGGAGGGAGTTGTAACAAATTTACTTTTATGTATTTATTTTTAATATGAACGTTGTTGGATTGAATTTGTATTTAGAAATAGGCACTCATATATGACTCATTATCAGATATGTGTTGCATATAATGAATTTGTAATGTATTTATTTTAATGTCAACATTTGTTTCGAATAAGTTTATATTTGAGGGCATGTCTAGCTTACAGTGTTAGTTACGTATGGCGAAATTCCCGCCAGTTCTCCAAGGTTCTAGAAAAGTTGTTGACACAAGAATCAACGATATATCCACTTCCATGACCGGATAAATATGGTTCAGTATTGTTGAGAAAATCCTATAAAAGGTGACGTGCCAAAAAACAACAGGGAACAGAGAAGAGACATGTCTACTAGGAAACTGTTAAACTGTGTAAGCTATAAACTGTGATTTTGCTAATCCTTATCAACCAGGAAATATACGACATTTGACCAGGAACAGTTATAAATTTCAAACGTCAGTGAATTCTCATCAAACGTTAATATCTGTCCAAAAATATTACTGATTTCTCATCGCCCATTACTTGGTTGATTAAATTGACTTAGCCTGTGTGGAGAGAGTTAAGTTTACCTGCCAATTTGGTTTTGCTAGCTCCAAAACTGTGGGGATAGTTCATGGACACACAAATAAACTCACAAACACAAAAGGTGAATTAATATAGGGATTATAAAAGTTTTAGAGACATTATTGTCTATCAGTGTAATATCAGCCTACTGATACTATAGTATTGACAATAGTATAGTTTATCTCATTGTACTGTCATCAGTACTATAAGTGTATTGACAGCAGTACTGTCCATCACTGAAGTGATGAAAATTCTGTCAGTGCATTTTGATCAAGTTCCTCAGTACATAAGTGTATTTAACTTGTGTACAGTTTTATATAGTAAATAGTTATAGTTTTAATAATTCCTTCATTTGATCAGTAGAAAATTAGCTTTAATAATAACTTTTTCATTTTACCAGTAGAAAGTTTTATACTTAAAATGTTAATAAACCCCCCCCCCCCCACTTATTTAACAGATGACTACATTTTCAGTTATAATTTTAACAATTCCTATTATTTAATAGAAGATTGTATTATGACTCCTTTACTTGATCACCTCAGTTTATATTTTTCATAGTCAGGTTGAAACTATGTTAGTTGTGGGAAGATGATGGAAGCTTACTCTTGAGAAAAAGTCATCTAGTTTCAGGGTTTTAACTTCTGCTAAAAGAAAAAGAATGCAAATCTTCTTTACTTTTTTCACTCCCAGTTTCGTACATCAACAATGATAGTTAATACCTATACCTGAACATTCTTAGTTAATATCTATACATGAACAGTTTTTGATAATATTTATACCAAAACAATTTTAGACAATGTTAAATAATATATGTACCTCATCAATTTGATAACATTTATACTTGAACAATTTTAGATAATTTTTTTACATTAAAAATCTTGGATAATATTTATAGCCGAAGAATGTTAGCTAACATTTGTACTTGAACTTTGTTGCAGAAATTTTTGATGTGGACAGTGTTAGATAATATGTTTATGTGGACAGGGTTAGATAATATTTATACTTGAATGATGTTAACTACTAGTTACACCTGTAAGTTATACATTTACATGTAGGTAATACATGAGAACTCATCAATGTTTTTTAAACCAGCTGATTTTAAATGCATTTTTTGTTTCTGGAGATGTTTGCTAAAGTAAAGAAGCTTTTGATGAAGTATAAATAGAGTTCCTTTTAATTTTTTCATTATCTGTTAAGGCTTTATAACAATAATAGATATCCAAACCTTTTTAGTCTGGCAGTTGCAGCCATTCCTGAAGGACTTCCCATTGTTGTGACAGTGACTTTAGCCCTTGGAGTGATGCGAATGGCTAAAAGAAATGCTATCATCAAGAAACTACCTACAGTGGAGACCTTAGGTACATTGATGTCCAGTTTTAAAATGTGTTTCTTTCTTCAGTGTCAGAAATGACACTTTGTAAATATGATCATAGCTAAATGAAAATGTACCTGAGATCCAAACACTGACAAGCATATAGGGTCAGCCTTACATATTGTATACCTTTTCCATATGGGTGTAAAATTAAATAGTATGTGTTACATTTAATTTAAAATTTTAATGGAGATTAAGACCTAGGTGACCTCGTAACTAGCTATAGTAAATAATCAGTGAAGTTCAATAAATATTTCAGCATGTTTATAGCTAAAGGTCCATGATATAATTAACCTAAAGAACTTGTGTACTCTAAAAGAGAAAACTGGCTTGTTGATAAAAAGACAAAATAATAATTACAAATAACATAAAACAAAAGATTTTCTCTGGTAGTGATAGCATTAATAAGCCTCTAGAAACATAGTTCTACAGTCTTTTAAAACAGTTTGTATCATTAATAAAGTTGAATATAAAGTTAGTCTTAAATAATATCTTTGCTTTGTCTAAATCTGAACCTTGGTCTAAATAGTCTAACCCTATTATAACTGGTGAGCACCTTTCGGGTGTTGAGTTCCCACCCATATATCAAATTTCCAAATGTAATTTAAAATAATAATTTTAATTCTATTTCAATAATTTTACTTGAAAAATATTTTGGAATTGAGATTTTGTTATTTTGTAGCACTTATTTAGTGTAATTTTCAAAGAAATGTTCAAACTGATATTTGTGCACAGCTCTGAGGAGTCTTGCCCATTAATAACACAATTCAGGTTTTTTAGAATTTTTCTGCCCATCAGGAAGCATAGGTTTATACTTGCTAATAAACTATCATCACTTGAGAATATCAAAGGAAAGATATAGAGTAAAATCAATCAAATTGAAATTGACTGAATGTATAAAATATTTTATGATTAACAATAAAAAGAATTAAATTCTGAGACAAAAGAAAGTATTTTAAATGTTTTTCATAAAAATGTCTCGCAAAACATTTTTGAAGTTTTAAAACCAAAATTGGATATTGTTTATTAAGTATATTCTAATTTTTATGAATTTTTAATATGCATGTTTATTCTGAGAAGGGAAAATAATCAAGGGATATCAGTGATTCCTCCAGTCTGAAAAGGATTATCTATGGAAGCTTGTTATGAGTGTTGATCAGTTAATGAAGTCAAAATAAATCATAATGACTAATACTTTAAATACTCATATGTTTATAGTTTTATCATTAATAATAATGATTTTAAGATTATTTTTTGTTGTTGTTGTCTGCTTTTGTATATGGTGAAACTGGAGTGTTTTTAAAATTTCTGTTAAAAGGTCATTTAAAAATACTAATAGATTTTCTTGGTATTTTTCAGGGTGTGTAAATGTTGTTTGCTCGGATAAAACTGGAACATTGACCAAAAATGAGATGACTGTGACAGAAGTTGTGACATCGGAATTATATCACATTGAGGTAGGAATTTACATAGACTGTTCTGTAAAAACATTAATGACAATACTAAAATTTAAATTCCTTTGAAGCCCCAGTTTGTTGACATTAATCATTGAATTACTGATGGAGACCCCATTAAAATTTGAATCACATTTTTCTAAAATGTTAATGCACAAGATTACTTGTTACTTCATGATTTTAATGATTATAAAATCCCTAATATTGTGCAAAGAACATAAAAAAATAGAATAAACAAAAATAAAATTACTGGAGTTTCATACGTGCATTATATGAAAATGAGTTTTTCTCCTTTTTTTGTCAGTTCTTTACCTTGAGTGTTGTTATGAGAAAAACAAAATTATCCAACATACTGCAATATGGGGGATCCCAAATGCAGTAAATGTTATAAAAACAAGTTGGCAATTTGAGGATTAATAGAAGATAGAAATGAAACAGAAATAAGTCACAGTTTAATATTTATTGGTATGTAAGATGTATATATAAATGTATCATACAAATTTGAATTGATAAGTAATAAATTGCTTGTGTTTCTTATTTTTTCAGGTCACTGGAGTAGGATACAACTCAGAGGGTAATTTCAATTTTACAGCACAAGATCAAAGGGACTATCTTTGTCAAGAAAATTCTGTGAAGAGGTTGCTCGAGGTAAGATTTATCACAGCATCAGAAACTTTCCCTATTTGGACATTTAGTCTCTGGCAGGAATTGTCTATGTTCTTAGCTTGCATGGTTTGATTTTTATCATAGTAGTGGCTGGCCCGGCATGGCCAGGTGGTTAGGGTGCTCGACTCACAATCTGAGGGTTGCGGGTTCGAATCCCCATCACACCAAACATGCTCGCCTTTTAAGCTATGGGGGCAATATAATGTGATGGTCAATCCCACTATTTGTTGGTAAAATAGTAGCCCAAGAGTTGGCAGTAGTTGGTGATGA